TTCTTTCTTTCTTTCTTTCTTTCTTTCTTTCTTTCTTTCTTTCTTTCTCTCTCTCTCTCTCTCTCTCTCTCTCTCTCTCTCTCTCTCTCTCTCTCTTTCTTTCTTTCTTTCTTTCTTGCCTGCTTGCCTGCCTGCCTGCCTGCTATTGCCTTTCTTCTGGGCTGTTCTTATTCTATGATACTATAGAACTGGGGTTGGTCTGAGCATCCTCTTGTTTCTAAGCTGCCTCATTTATTTCTGTTGATTGCATGCATTTTTTTAAGACCCTGCACCAAGATTAAAAAACACAGTCCCTGCCTGCAGGCTTATTCTCTGAGAGGCAGAGTACAATAGAACAGGGCCAAACTGGGACAATCTCATCCCTGTGTGTGTGTGTATGTGTATGTTTCAGGTGGGCTTCCTAGTTTTAGAAGGAGAGAGGGAAGGAGGAAGGAACAGAAAGAAAGAGAGAAAAAGAAGGAGAGAGGGAGGGGGAGAAAGAAAGAGAGGGAGATACAGAAAGAGAGAGAGAAAGAGAGGGAAAGAGAGAGGGGAGAGAGAGAAAGTGAGAGAGAAAGAGAGAAGGAAGATACAAGAAAGAAAAGAAAGAGAAAAAGGAAAGAAAGAAACAGAGAGAGAGAAAGGAAGTGAAAGGAAGGAAGGGGGATGGAAGGAAGGGGCAGAAAGAAAGGGAAGAAAGAAAAAGAAAGAAAAAAGAAAAAAGAAAGAAAGAAAGAAAGAAAGAAAGAAAGAAAGAAAGAAAGAAAAGAAAGAGAGAGAGGGAGAGAGAGAAAGTAAATGAGATATATGGATGGATTGATCAATACATGGAAGGAGGGAGAGAGAAAAAAAGGAGAGGAAGGAAGGACATATACCCTGGCTTCAGAAGACTTTGAAGCAGTACAGCAATCTAGGGCTGGCCTGCAAGGGATCTCGGAGGTCATCTAGTCCAATTCCATGCTCCAGCAGGAGATCCTTACAGAATCAAAGAGTAGCAGGGTTAGAAGGGTGTGTGTGTGTGTGTGTGTGTGTGTGTGTGTGTGTGTGTGTGTCTGTCAAAACACCAAAAACAGGCCAAGTAGCTCTGTGGAGGTCAGTCATAAATTAGAACACTTGCTGAGCAACTGGTCATTAAGCAAGGACCTGGTCATTAAGTGAGGACCACTTAAATTTGGTTTGCAAGTCACATGGCCACCTGCTTGGGCCTCACCCTGCCCTCCCCAGGCCTTGGAAACTGGCAAGAAAACCTTGCTAAGCAAATGGTCACTAAGCAAGGACCTGGTCATTAAGCAAGGACCACATAAGTTTGGTTTGCCAGTCACATGACCACATGCCTGGGCCTCACCCTGCCCTCCCCAGGGTTCCCCAGGCCTTGGAAACTGGCAAAAAACATTTGCTAAGCAACTGGCCACTAAGCAAGGATCTGGCCATTCAGCGAGGACCACTTAAATTTGGCTTGCCAGTCACATGGCTACCTGCCCAGGCTTCTCCAGTCACATGACCACCTAGCCATGTCCACCCCAGTCACATGACCACCTACCCATGCCTAGTCAGCAAGCCACCCCCACTCCAGTCACATGACCACCAAGCCACACCCACAAATTAGGTCACGCCCACAGAACTGGTTGTTAAGAAATTTGAATCCCACCCCAGGATAATTCATATTTTAATTACTTCAATATTGAAGTAGTATGCTGTAAATTATTAGGATAAAATAATAAGGTATTCCTTTTGAAAGGCTGCTTAAAATGCCTTTCTTCTGAGGATTCATTTTTCCTGCTGGGAGAGCTCCGCTGCAAGGATACAGACAACTGCTTGAAAGCTGGTTCTTTTTATTTTTCAGGAAGGCGAGAGATAGCAAGAAGTCTGCGTTCCTGGGGCTAGCTGGCTTTGTATGATAAGCCCCTGATTTTTTATACCTTTTCTCCTTTTGTGTGTGTTTGCTTGTGTTTGTATTTCTTAATGTTTGAAATTCTGTCAGGGGTTGTCTTCATTTCCGCCGGAGGGTAAACTCCGCGGGGTGGTTTGATTGGATTATCAGTTTCTTCCTAATGTTTTCTTATATTTGTTTTGTGGCAATCTCCTGTCTGCTATGGAATTTATTTTGTGTCTTTTGTCTATTTGTTTTGCTGATTTGGCATGACCTGTTTTTTGTAAGAGATTTCTTTTTCTTTACAGACAAACCTCAAGTTAAAGTATAAATATATTTTGAATGTCTCAACTAATATATTTGCATTCTTACCTGGGAAATAAAAATTGTGAAACTCCTAAATAAAGTCTGAATGATTCTATATGCATGCCTTTTAAAAAGTTCATTCCATTTTAATTTACAGGTTACTTAAACTAGACAAATAATTTTTCTTTTATTTGAAGCTACAAGAGATATAATTTATGCTAGAAACTTGTAAAGTATGAAGTATCAAAAAAAAATATAAAGAGTGCTTGCATGATCTTAAAATCTTTCCCATCCCTAGATCCCTTCTGAAGTGATTCATTAGTGTTCTTAAGTTGTGGCTGTGTAAATACAATATTCAAGCAACCATCTTAACCCTTATTTTACATAAACAGTATAACTGTTTTCCAGCAACTGTGCAATGAAAATGTTCCAAGTGCTACATAGTAGGGATTTATGGGTACATAACACTTGAAACATCAGGTTGTCATTCATTTCTCTAAAGCATGAATTTGAAAGAGAAAAATGTCAAGTTACTGAAGCAACGAAGCTATCATTCAGAAGGGTGTCTTTTTAGGCAGAAAAATACTCAGCCACCTTGTCTTAAAAATAAACCACCCATCCAACAGATCTCTAGTCCTTTATTTCCCCAAATCTGAAGCTTCACAGTAAAATAAAAGGAGAGACAGGAGGAAGAGGAGGAGGAAGGGTTTGATTTTACATGAATATACGATCCAATAAACTACTCTTAGCTTTCTAAAACTAGTCCTATCTATTCCATGCCTTGGTTTCCTTGTAAATGCTTTATTAACTGACCTCTTGTGGAATAAAATGAGTCATCAAGTGCAGCAGTTAAAAAGCAAGGAGGAGCACAAAGAGGAAATGTTGAAGGAATCATATTACTGATAGAAGTTTCCAGCCTATTCTGGAACAGTATGCAGTATTGTCTGCTTCCAAGAACGGAGAGTTGTAACATACTAATTCATGCTGCAAAATTTTGTGGTCCTTCTGGGAAGAATTTGTATTGATTGCCAGAATTTATAAAATCTGAAGATTCAGGGGAACGTTATTACTGACTCCATATTCCCTACAAAGAAGCCTGGAATACAACATGGAAACAAACGTGGCTGGAAAGGTAATGTGGCTGCCTCTATTTGACACATTAGCAAAATTAAAAACACAGCTGTACATTTTTTAAAAAATGACATTGCAAATTAAGATGAAATCACTAATTTGTCTACATGACGCAGTAAAACAGCACTAATGAATGCAAACATTTCCTTCCTCCCCAATATCATAAAATTTTAATACAATTATCATTAAAGGGAAGGGACAGCTGTTCAATCCAAGTTTATGTCTTTGATGTAATTCATACAATTTGCATTTACATAATTTATTCCCAAATTGATGAAATTGATATAAAAATAAAATACACATTTATACAAATGATGTAAATTGATGCACATGAGTCTCTGGTCTGAATTGCTTTGGAAAGAATGAACTGTTATTTGTCATTTGTATGTGGGGGGAATCTAAATAAGAAGTATGGAATCCAGTCCATGTATACCATTCTGGCCAACTGAAACTTTAATGCAAGTTTGATATAATGTTATTTGAAATGATTTTATGTGTAGACTGGGGCAACATCAGGGGTGGGATTCTACCAGTTCTCACTTATTCACTAGAACCAGTTGTTAACTTTCTAAGCATTTCGGAGAACTGGTTATTGGAAGAAATCTCCTTTTATTTTTTTCCCACCTTATTACATTCTTGGCAGTATGCCTAGACTTACTGTTTCCAAAGGAGTATTTTCTTAAAGGGGAAGAGTTGTTTTAAGCTTTTTACATTGGGAGGAGGAAATACTCCCCTGTTGAAGTTCTTCCAACCAGGATCGTCACTTTGAAGAAGTAATTGAATAACAAAGCAGAGCTGCAGGAAAGAAGCTTCTCATGACAAGGAACCAAGATGAGTGACATTCAGTAAGGCTTCTTAGCTAGATAGAAAGATTGACATTCAAATGTGAGTTCCAGAGGTGATATTCAGCAGGTTCTGACCAGGTCTAGAGAACCAGTAGCAGAAATTTTGAGTAGTTCAGAGAACCGGCAAATACCACCTCTGACTGGAAATTTTACAGTATCCTTCCCCTGACACCCCCACCAAGCCATGCCCACAGAACCGGTAGTAAAAACATTTGAATCCAACCACTGGTGAGTTCACATATATTTTCTGAGTTTTAGTCTAAAACTGGTTTTTGGTGAAGTTTAATTCTGTCCTTCAGATAATCAGAGTAGGAAGGGACCTTGTAGGTCATCTAGTTCAACCCCCCGCCCAAGTGGGAGACCCTACACCATTTCTATCCTTGGTGACGCTTAATCCTCTGGGATAATTTTCCCTATTCAGCTTTGTTTGGAAGGAAAAAGCTTAATCTCTGTTCCTGAAAATAAACTGGGTTGAGAAATCTGGTTAGTTCCTGTGTCTATTTGTGCTTATAATTGGTTTAAGAAGCAACAGCTACTGTTGTGATTTAATTATTTATATTGTGTTTGAATTTTTTCCTGCCTCATTTTCCTGCCTCATTTTTTCTATCTGGGGAGGTGGATCTTCCTTCACTTTTTTAGTGGTTCTTGGCACTATTTTTTTGGGGGGGGGGGTGTATTTCCGGGAGGCATGTGATCTTTCCTTAAATCTGGATGATTTCCTTAGAATACCTTGTGAGGTGAGTGAGACCAGCTGGTATCTTTAAGTGGTGCAAATGGATTTAAGAATTGCTTTTCCTGGGTGTGCTCTTTCTAGAGAGCTTAAATGACATCTCTGCTAAAGGGTTTCACTTTATAAGCAAGAGTTGGCTGCTCATAGTTATCATTGCATTTTAACTATTTTAATTCCTCAAGGTGCTCTAGCACCCTGCCTGATCTGTAACTCCGGCTTGCAGGTATTTTTAATCTAAGGATTGGTATTTAGAGCAGCTTTTTGCAAGCAAAGAAGCTTTTTGTATTCTTGTACAGGTAATCCTTGACTTACAACAGTTCATTTAGTGACCATTCAAAGTTACAATGGCACTGAAAAAAGTGACTTATGACCATTTTTCACACTTACGACCATTGCAGCATCCCCACTGCCATGAGAGGCCAGATGAGGAGAAGCGCCCCTCAACATGAGTGATGTCAAATTGGCCATGCCCACCCAGTCACTGACCACCAAACCACTCCCACCACCTAAGCCATGCCTACACAACTGGTTGTTAAAAAATTTGAATCCCATTCTTGGGCAATATCATCTCTACAGCAATGATCCAGCTAATCAGTTTGCTTGAGAGTCAAAATATGACATTAATTCTCATTATTGTCAAACTTGCTAGTAAAGTTGAATATATTTTTCCTATGTTTGTTTTGTATGTGTATTTGCTAGGGGAAAATCAAAGTACGAATTTCAAAATCTCTCTCAGCTGGTGAAGAAGTAGCTATAACTGCTCGGAAGAAAAAAGTGGAAAAAGCACTTGCTAAGCTTGGGATGCAGTGTGATTCGGTAGGTTTCCATTGATATGTCTATTTGAGAGGACTAGTAACAAACCATAATAAATGCCACAAAATCTCTGAAGATCTTTAATTTAATGAAATCAAAATTTAAGCATTTTTTGTTTAATTTAAAAGGCTTTCTTTGTCTTTAGCCCTCCTGTTTCCCAGATCTTTGAAAGCCATGTTTAATTGATATTAGAATATTTCCAGAATTACATTTTTTAGGTTTATGGCTAAAGATGTTAAATATGTCTCCTAGACAACCATAGACATACAGGTTGAAAAAAATTATGATGGTAGGTAACAAGAGAGAGATACTGCTTTTTTCATCTCTTTGCTACTATCTCATGGTCATCCAGAGATTTTCAGTTCAGATATGGTAGTCATGATAAGCTTTCTCCATTTCTCCATAAACTTCTCTAGATTTTGATTTTTCCTTCATTTCCTCTTACCAAGGGGATCAAAGAATGCCTCCACTTTAATAAAGCCTCTACAATTTATTTGGCAATAAACAATAAAAAGGCAACTATATAGAGAGCAAGGAAAAGTAATAAAAAATGGATTGTAAAAAAAATCTTTGATTCTTGGGTCAAGCTGTAGATATTTGCATGCAACTATTGAACTTGTCTGTCTATCATAAGGCAGTTAAATGATCAAAAATAAAAGAAAATATGAGGGGCAGGATAAGAATTTTCTGAAATAACAGTTAACTTCATTAGCTAAAGAAATATAGCAAAGGCCAACTCTTTCATTAGCGGAAATGATGGAAGAGGGTGGAAGTTTAGTTTCCAAATCGAGAAGTATGATGAATCTAGTTGGTTTTACCTTTAAGCTGGTAATATAGCTGCATTCTTAAAATGCAAATTGGCAAATGATTTCCTTGAAATTCAGGCTTTGCTTGTATGGTCCAGTCTAAATGTCTGCTTTGTTGCTATCTTTCATTGGGGTTCATATATGAATTTCAGTTATGACTACTAAAATATTATACACTAATCTATGTCACTTGTTAAATAGCTTTAAAAACAAATTATGCAAATATCAAAATATGCAACCTGCTTGAATGAAAATATCAAATAATATCTTTAAAAAGATCTGGATATACAGAAGATATTTATTCAATGTCCCTAAATTCAATAAATATCTTCTGTATATCCAAATCTCTGATGCATTGACAATGGTTTAGAAGTGTCTTGCACAAGTAATTTACTTCTCTGTGGTTTATTAAAGTAGCTCTATTTTTTCAAGCTTCCATTGTGCTTTAAAAAAAGGAAGCTGATTTAAAAACTCATCTTAAATTTAATACAGTTCTTAAAATAGCCATATATTTTCTCCCTTTCGGGTCTTATGGTATCCTGGAATAAAAATGAGTTGCTTTAATAAAGAATAGAAAAATGCTCCATTCGTGACTTCTGGTTTAAGCTTCTTCAGCGACAGACTGAAACCTCGTCTCTGTGAGGCTTCGATCCGTGCTTGCTGCTGGAGCACCCTGAGCCGGCTGGTTTTGGGGCTAAGCCACCCCGTAGAGGTGGTGAAGAGGGGGGAGACTGCCAGCAGGGTTGAGGAGATCCGCATCTCTCCTCCCCAGCTGGCCATTACTCCCTTTCCCGAAGGCGGTTGCAGCGATGGTCAGAAATGGCCACCAGAAAGAAGAACTCGACCGGAAAAGAATGTGCAGGAGGAAGATAAGAGGAGAAAGTTTTGGTTGACTGGGTCAAACAGCAAAAGCAACAAATAAGGTACCCTGGAATTGAAACTGTTAAAAAACAATAACATTGTTCCCTAAGAAGATTTTTAAGCTGCGAAGGAGAGAGAAAAGGGAAAAGATTTGGTTTTCTCCTTTTCCTATACTGACAGCTAAGAGACTTAAGCAAGAAATTGGAAAAAAATCCACTTTAACATCAATAGGCATTTAATGCTGAAAATAAAAAGTCAAAGGGATAATAAAGATTTCTGGATAATTAAAAGCTTTTGAAAACAGGAAAGGAGAGAAAAAAAGAATAAAAGGGTGGGATCTGGAAGGGAGGAGACTGCCTGGAATTAAAAAAGAACTTACAGCAAAATCTCAACAAGACTTCCAAAAGATACATTCTAACTGAAATATCACAACAAAAACCCCAGGAAGAGAAAGTCAAAAAAGAAATAAGAAGATATAACTCAGGACTATCTGGATGACTTGATGATTTCTGGATTCTTGGTTGTTGTTTTGAATGACTAATATCAATCGGTGGTTGTTTAAAACTGTTTAAAATGGCTCCACTTTTAGAAGAACTGAAAATGGAACTTAAAAAGTACAAAGAAGATGCACAAGAAGGGAGAGGTTCTTTTGACTTTGTATTTCAGTTTTTAGAAATGGAGATTTGGAATTATGAGAAACAACAAGAAATGCCTGCAGAACAAGAAGATTGTGACAAAGAAGAAACCATCTTTAATGAACAAATAATCTGAGATGGGGGGAAAAAAGGATAGGAGGGGAAAAGAGAATGGAAAGTTTAAGACTGGGAAAAACAACTCCCCCCCCACACACACAAAAGAGTGAAAAATAAGTATAAAATCAGAAAGCAACAGAAGAGGGAAATGCAGAGGAGAGAATTAGAAGTAGAGAGACAAGGGGATAAAAAGGGCAGGGAGAAGATGAGAGGGAAGAAAGAAAGGAAAAAAAGTTATAAAGGACAGAAACAAAATATAGAGAAACAGGGCCTATTTAAGATAATGGGTGAAAATTTAATGGAAAAAGGGATTCTGCAAAGGTACATAAGATAGTATTGTTATATTAGAAATGGAATAATTTTAGAAAATATGAAACAATGTATGATTAAAATGTTTGATAAAATAGCTATTGTAATTCAGTGGAATGCTTGTCAATAAATTAATGTAACAAAAGGTATATTTAATGATTTATAAAACATATGTGAAGAGAAATAAGGGAAAAATTAATTATGGAGATTATATGTGTTTTTAAGGAAGTATGATATTTAATTGAAAAGAAGTGTTAAAGATGTTAAGATTTTAATGATAATGATAGAACTGAACTGGAATGGGTTTATAATTACATATATTTACAATCTTTCTTTAAAAAAAAAAGAATATAGTGTGTATTATAAGAATGTGCCAAGCAGAATTCGATTGGAAGTTATGTATTATGTATTATATTGAAGGTCATAAACTTAAGCTATATATTGAAGTTTAAATAAAAGTTGAATGGATGTAATTAAAAGATATAAAGGTGTCATACTCCAATTAGTAACTACAGGAGAAAATTTGTTTAATGAGAAAAGATAATATGAAATTGAAACGGAACAGACAAAAGTATAAATATAATGATTTGAATTGAGATGAGATAATCAAAATAAAATTGAGAAAATTAAAAGAGGGGAAAAACTATATAGAAAATGTAAAATAGTATAAGATATGGAATAGAATACAGAAAGAAGCATGAAATTGAGTTTTGTGTCTGTATAAAGAAGTTCAACCAGGGACCATGCTATTTTCAAAAAAGATGTTTTACTTCTATTTTGTGTGTGAAAACCCAAATAAAACTTTATTAAAAAAAAGAAAAAAAAGCTCCATTCGTACTTATGCTTATTATGAAGTATTTCTTCTGAATCATTGTTAAAACAAGTTTCAAGTATGTTTCTTTTAAGTACTACTTAAATATAAGAACCTCAGCAAGTTGTAACCCTTTGCTGACCTTATCTGATTTTGAAAACTAAAGAGATTTGGACTGAATACCCTGTTTCTCCAACAATACGCCCCCCCAATAGGAAGACTCAGCATGTTTTCTAGGCATAAAATGAAATTAAGCCTGTCCCCCCAAATTTAGGCCTATTTTAAAACATGTAAAATTGGGGGGGAAGGTGGGGGGAACTTGCCATTAGGAGTGCCCCACAGGCAGCTATGCCTCGCCATCAGCTGCTCCTAACAGCTCATCATGGCGGAGCACAGAGGGCTCCCTACCCCCGCCAAGTGCCTTTGCTGCAGACCCAGGTCAGCGGTCAGGTGGTGGTGTGGATGTCCACCAGCAGTTTTTCAGCTGCTTCTCAGGCCTCCATAGCTTTCAAAGTTCCAACAGGTGCTGGCGCCTCTCTTGCCAACACCATCTCCAACAACAGTGTTTGAGTCACTCCCGCTTTTCCACCATCCCCGCAACAACAGGGTACCTGGGAGTGCCATGCACTGCATTTTGGTTTAATCCTGAGTGGCTGGGTGGGTGTGAGAAGAGCCAAGCGAGCATCTCTGCTGCTGCTGCTATCCTTGGTGCTCCAGCCTTGGCAAGTTTCCAAAAGTCCTGGTGCGCAGCCCATTCCTGCATTCCAAGTGCACCCAGGGTGAGCTGTAGCTGTCCCTCTCTTGCCAGCACCATCTCCAATAACAATGGCAGCAGCAATGGGAACCATGGAAGTTACAGAGGTAGCTCCCCCACTTGAGAAGTGGCTGAAACACTTCCATGGTTCCCACTGCTGCTGACGCTGTTATTGGAGACGGTGCTGGCGAGAGAGGGACAGCTTCAGCTCGGCCTGGGCATGCTTAGAATGAAGGAATGGGCCGTGCAACAGGACTTTGGGAAACTTGAGCTCAAGGCTGGAGCACCAAGGGTAGCAGCAGCAGAGAAACTCACTCGACTCTTCTCACGCCCACTCAGCCTCTCGGGATTAAACCAAAACACAGAGCGTGGCACTCTTGGGTACCTCAAAATGTTTTTTTTCCTGTTGTTGCAGGGACAGGGATGGGGGAAGAGCAGGAGTGACTCAGACACTGTTGTTGGAGATGGCGCTGGCAAGAGAGGTGCCAGCACCTGTGGGAACCATGGAAGCTACACAGGCCTGATAAGTGGTCGAAATGCTGCCAGCAGACATCCACACCACCGCTGCCTGCCTGCTGACCTGGGTCTGCAGCAAAGGTGCTTGGTGGGGGTAGGGAGCCCTCTACACTCCGCCATGATCGGCCATTAGGAGTGGCTGGTGGCGAGGAGTAGCTGCCCACAGGGCGCCCTAGGTGAGGGTGCATGGGGTGGGGAAGAAATTAATTCACCCCTGAAAAGACACCCTAGCCGTTTTTTCGGGGCTCAAAAAAAAAAAAAAAGACCCGGCCTTATTATATGAGAAACACAGTATTATTTGGATAAAAGAGTACTAAGTAATCTGATGATTATTTGCTAGATCAGGGTTGAAAAAGAAATCTAAGTAGAAGGCAAGAGCAAACCTGTAGTATTCTGTTATCCAATAAACTGGATGGAGAGTTCCATGAAATACTAAAAAAGAATGGTCTTTAATTCAGAACAGACATGATCTTTATCTTCCCTTTTTTATTCCATTAGGAGAACATCCCCAGTATTGCTCTCCTAGGAGCAGGAGGAGCTATGAGGGCTATGATTGCATTGTATGGCACTCTAGCAGAACTGAAGAAATATAACCTTTTGGATTGTGTCATGTACTTGGGTGCGGTGTCAGGTTCTACCTGGTAAGTCTATGGCATTGGTAATGAAAGTAAATAGTTACTGCAAATAATTACTGCTTAAATTACTAGATCAGTTCATCTTTAATCTCAACCACATCCTGTTGTCATTAGCAAAAGTAAAAAATCCAAGGAGATTTGAAAGTTAGCAATAACCCCAATGAGAACCATTTTTGTGTAATAGTTAAGGCATCATGCTAGAAACTAGAAGATGGTAAGTTCTAGTGCTGCCTTAGATATAAAGCTAGCTAAGTCAGAGGCCCCACAACCCTTGGCCATGGCCCACTACCAGGCCATGAGCTGTTCAGAACTGAGCTGTGGAAGTGGCAGGTGAGCATGGGTGTGCGCATCCCCACTTGAGTGAGCAGAAATTGGAGCAGCAAGATGCACATGTGCTCTATTTGCACAAGTGGCATCCCCACTCCTGTGACCAGTGGGTGAGCAGCAGGTAAGTATGTGCATACATGCTCCAATTGCTCACACTTGTGCAAATGGAGTTGCAGATACATATGATCTTGCTAGAAACCACAAAGCCAGAAAGGTTGGGAAACTCTAATATAAGTGACTCTAGGATGGTCCTCTCTCTCTCTCTCTCCTCACCCCTCCCTCCCTCCCTCTTTCTCTGTCCTAGAAAGGAGGCAATGGTAAATGATTTCTGAATACTCTGTAGGAACTTCTCCAAGAATTGAAAATGGAAAAAAAAACTTTTACAATGACTCAAAATATATAATTTTATGTTTATGGCTCACATTGTTACATGAAACTAGTGGAAATGATTTATCAATAATTATTTATTGTTTTGATTAGTATATGAATCCAGCTAATTGTGTTTCTTTTTAATTAACAAATCAAGCTGAAGCATGTTAGAGACTTAACAAAATGTATAAACCTAGGAAGCCAATCTAATTTAACTAAAGAAACTCTGGCTCTTCAATTAACAATATTAATTTGTCCACTTTTTCTCTTCCCCTTCTAAAAAAAATAGAGCTATTCTTGTAACTTCACACTAATTTTATTTGCCTGGAGAAAAGGAACACAGGGCAGGTTCATTTCACACTGAAGTTATCTTCACTACAACAAAATAACTCCTAAGGAACATCTATGATGTTATGCTAAAATAACCCATGTTAAGTAGAAGTACCAGTGGAATTTCATACTGATTCTGCATTCCTTTAATTTTTGTATTCATGTCTTCTGATTAAAATAAAAGTTTAAGCTATTCTTACCCCCTAGTAATGTGGCTTGCAAATAATTAGGCATGTTATTTGGTAATTGACATATTTATAGTAATTAATATATTATGGGATAAATTTTGGGGGATACTGCCTTCTTCATTAAATGCATAAAATATTGTCTAGTGTTCATATATAAGCATGCATTGCACAAATATATATTTTTGAAAATTTGTTAAAACTTGCTTTTGAAGTCTTCTTGAAAACCATATTTCTATTCCAATTTTCTATATGACTAGAAAATTTCATTTGCAGTTACCTCTAAAGTTGTTAGTGAAGTGAACCAGGGGTAGGATTCTACCAGTTCTCACCTATTCGCTATGTTAACATTCTAAGCAGTTCGGAGAACCGGTTGTTAGAAGAAATTACTGGCCTAATCCTGTAAGGAAGGCAGGAAGGAAACATTCTGGGTTGCTTAAAGAAACTGCCTCTCCATTAACCCTTATTACATTCTTGGCAGGACTAGACTTCCTGTCTCAGGAACTTCTCTAGAGTTTATTTTTCCCTCCTTTGCTGGTACTTTGCTTGTGTGGTGTGACCATTCAAAGTTACAATGGCACTGAAAAAAGTGACTTATGACCATTTTTCATACTTACAACTGTTGCAGCATCCCCACAGTCATGAGAGGCCAGGCGAGGAGATGCGTGCCTTAATGTGAGTGATATTGAGTTGGCCACACCCAGCCAATAACATGACCACCAAGCCACGTCCACCAACTTAGCCATGCTCACGGAACAGTTGTTAAAAAATTTGAATCCCACCCCTGAAGTAAACTCTATATTTTCTCTTATATTTAAAATTTTGAGAATAGTATTTTTACACGAATGTAGCTTTTGTTCTCATCAGAATGAAAATCAGATTTCAGATTCCTTATTTTACAGCATGAGCTTTTAAAATGAAATAAACTCCTTGTGGGTAACTTCCATGCACTTTTCCACTGCACTAAAGACATTTGGCATGTTCTTTTCAAAGGTGCTTGCCAACCCTATATAAAAATGAAGATTGGTCAGAAGAAATAGAAAATTTGAGTAAATGTGAGCTTGAAAATCTTGTCCAAGGCCAATGGGATTTTAATAAAGCAATGAAAGCTGTTCTAGAGGCCACAGAAGATGAATGTTATTCTCTCACTGATTTCTGGTCCTATTTTCTTGTGCATAAACTGCTAAGCAAGGTGGGTGAAAAACAGTTTTTTTTTTGATAGCTAAAACAAATAAGCAGCTTTATCTGATTCTGGGTCCCAGTCTCACCTGATTTCCTAGAAATTCACACTCATGTTGGTCATATTCATGAAAATATATTCATGAAATAATATAATATAGTACAATATTTAATGGTTGCTGGAACTGTGTATGTCTAGCTTGGTGAAAAGAAGGACTAGGGGTGACATGGTAGCATTGTTCCAACATCTCAGGGGTTTCCACAAAGAAGAGGAAGTCAAGCAGGTGTGGGATTCAGATGGTTCAGACGGGTTTGAGTGAACTAGATGATAAATTTACATCTGGTTCACCAAACTGCTAGTTGAACCAACCGGCTGTCCCCGTCCACCCCTCCCCTCCCCTCCCAGAAGTCTCCATGTGACCCATTTTGGATGCAGGATCTGCAGAGAGGCTCTGGGACAGTGAATAATGGGCCTTCTGGAAGTGTGGAAACGGACCTGTTTCTGGCTTCTGGAGGGTCTCTGTAGTCTGGGGAAGGTGAAAAAATGCTCTTCCCGGAGGTTCCAGAAGGCCACGTCCATCATAGCCATGTCCACCATGGCCACACCCACCATGGCCACGCCCACCATGGCCATGCCCACTCAGCAACCAGGCAGCAAAACAGTTGCTGGGATTTTTGAATTCCACCCCTGGTCATGCTATTCTCCAAAGCACCTAAGGGTAGGACAGGAAGCAATGGGTGAGAAGCAACTTAGAGCAAAGGAGTAATTTCCTGACAGAACAATTAATCAGTGGAACAACTTGCCTCCAAAAGTTGCAAATGCTCCAACATTGAAAGTTTTTAAAGAAGAGATTGGATAACCATTTGTCTGAATTGGTGTAGGGTTTCCTGCCTAAGCAGAAGACTTCCAAAGTCCCTTCCAACTCTGTTATTCTATTCTATTCTATTCTATTCTATTCTATTCTATTCTATTCTATTCTATTCTATTCTATTCTATGATGCATTACATTACATTATGTATAATATAATGAATATAAGCTAAAAACAGGACACCCATATCTTCCCACATATGATTCTGAGCAATATCTCCCTTAAAAATGAACAGTGAAAAGAAAAAAGTAATTAAATGAAAATAAAATTATTTTAGTTTGAAGAAGAAAAATTGTCTCAGCATGCTGGATCTTGTGAGAGTGGAAAAAATCCTTATCCTATCTATGCCGCTGTGAACAAGCAAACTTATGAGAATCAAAATGCAGGTAAGTATGTTTGTCTATATATGCAGATTTTGCTGTTTATCAGACAAAAACTGTTCAAATCACAAGTTCTTACTTGTTAAAATCACTAATGTTAAATTCTAAAAAAAAAAATTGTTCAAAGCTTCTAAATGAGACATTTGCAAATAATCTTACATTATACCTATTAACTAAGGATCAGAAATATATATCACATAGCACAGCAAACTTCTGCAATAATAATTTTTCCACTGGCAATATCTTAGCTACAATTGAGTGACTATAACTGAATGTCAATTCCAGTTCTTCCATGGGAAAAAAATTGTTATAAGCACATGGTGAACACTACTGGATCAGAACCATTATACATGCTATAAATTAAATTAAATTTCTTTTATAGTCCATTTATTTCTACAATCAATTCTATGTCTTATAAAAGGGGGAATTAATAGTCTGTGTCCAGATGCCATGATAAGAACAGGGAAATCTACAATAAACTATGGTTCTATATTTTGCAAGGCACTTATCTCAATCATAATCTTGATTATGTAGGCCTGTGTAGTCTTGGGTAAAATCCAAATCTGGATAGTGTAATAAGTGTAATTTTATTAGAATGTTAATTTTTGCATGATTTTACTGTAATCTTTTCAGGTACCTGGTTTGAGTTTACCCCTCATGAGGTTGGAATTCCTGGACTAGGGGCATATGTAGAGAGCAAATACTTTGGGAGCATATTTCAAAATGGTCAGCTAATCAGAGAAAAAAGAGAAAAAAATATTTGCTATTTGCAAGGTATGTCATATTTGACTTTTTGCCCTTGAAACAAAGGAACACTTTTTGTATTTGTATGATTACTTGAGTCAAATGTAGAGAGGGGACATACCTCTGAAAATTTAAAATATGTCATTCAAACAAATAATTTCATCAAGAGTTTTGTGGAATAAGTTGTTTCAGAACATAACCAAGAACCATTATAATAATAAGAATAATAATTCAAGGTAGAAAGAAAGGATGGTGTTTGGTTACATTTCTTTCCTTTTTTTTCTGTGTTATATGGTGGAATTTTGTCCTTTTAAAACAAATTGATTTTTTTACAAACACTAGATTGTAACATGGGGGTGGGGGGATATTTTCCTTATTTTTAGGTTTATGGGGAAGCGCCCTTGGAGGCAAGCAAGAGATTTCAAAGACTATATCAGGTATTGTTCTTTTTGTGATTTAATTAGCGTGATACTGAATTAGTCCGCGAGTCAGGGGAGATTACAAAGAATTCATATACATGTGCAGTTGCATACAACCCTAAATGTCTCTGCTTCCCACCCTTAGAACCTATGGTAGTAACTTTCAAATCTTTAAGTCTATGAATTCCATTATCTGTAATCACATAGCTAACGCTTATGATTATGAATGTTGAAATACAAAATATCTGGAGAGTATAGATGTGTTTACCTCAGTCCTAAGGAGTCAAAGATATGGAAGATATGTCCTATGTTGCCAAAAGAAGAGAATATATGTAGCTCAGAGTTGAATTGTGGAGACTTTGGTGTACCTTGAGCTTCTTTTTTTCTGGTAGATTTTTCAATACTTGAGTATTGTTATTCTCTAACCCAACAATCGCATTTTCCAGATATGTTTTACACCCTCTTTTTTCTGTAATTATTGTAGTTATAGATGGTGAACAAGTTTCAGCTCTAATAGAATGCCTTTCTAGTCAAAGGCTGATTTAGTTGATTCTAGGCTCCTATTTTCTTGTTTCCGATACACATTTTTGGTGCTGGGTATAATGTACAGTACATAGAGTAGCAGAATTCCCAGGTTTATACAAATATATCACTAAGTATTATAAATGCCAAGGAAATATTATGGTTAAAAGAATCAGTTATAGAGAGAGTCCAACATTTTGGCAACATGTTTACTAAAACATGTTTCTGGTTGTTAAAAACTACATTGCAATATTGTGCTAGAAAATGAAAACTGTTATAGCTAAGAATGTATTCATTTATCATTTAAGATGCTTTAAAAGATTTTGGAAAATATGTAAGATTGGAGGACCTTATTTCAAAAGATTCAGGTAAGATTTACAACAAATATGCCCCTTTCTTTCACTTCCCTCCCTGCTAGCATTTTCTGCTGCACAGTCTGTTTTTCAGATCAAGCAAATGTTGATCTATATGTGACAATAGAATTCAAGGATTGGCTTGTTACCTGAGCCTGGTATCATGGGATGAGAGAGAATGGCTGTTTTTTGTGCTTAAAGCAGGACTAAACACAAAGTCTCTTGGTTTCTGGCCTGGTCTTAAACGTCACTGGAGGTTTTTAAGAGACACCCATTTATCTGAAATAATATAGGGTCTCCTGGGTGAGCACGGGATTAGACTGGGAACCTCCAAGGTCCCTATTCTATGATTCTGTTAACTATCATTCTTATCTTTTCAATTGTCCAGAAACAGACATTAAAAAATTAAACATGCTCTATGAATGCTATCAGATACTCCTTGACCTGCAGTTATTGGAATCTACAGATAAAGAAGGATTAGATAAACTTGATCACCTAGAAAATATCTTGAAAGGTAAGTTAATATAAACCCCATATCAAAATAAAGGTTTTATTTATTTATTTTTAATGTACTTAAATTTCTACAAAACGTAAAATATAAAAAAAAATATTAAGAAGGAAAATTATATGGTAAGGCAAGATACAGAGTAATAAAAATGAAAATGAAGAAAAATAGTTTCCAAAGTTTTTGATAGTTACATATATAAAATATATTATTTTTTTAATCTAAAATTTAACAATACCCAGTATTTCTATAAACATTATAATCATCAAATCACCAAATTAATATAGCATTTTGAGGTTTCTACCAAAAAGTCCAAAAGTAATTTCCACACAGAAACAAAGTTAGACAAAGTCTTTTCAAGGTAGTTAATTTCTCTACTTGAGCCAGTTCTATTAACTTCACCACCTATTCTTCCAGTGTGGGAATCTGTAAATCTTCCTATCTTTGAACATACAAAAATTTTGCTGGAATTACCAAAATGGAAACAAAGTCACACATTTTTTCTTTAGCCAGCAAACCTTTTTAAAAAGCACTTTTGATTTCAATTATATATTTATTTTAAGAATTCTCTGAATTAGGGACATATTTAATCCTGAGATGAAGGTTTTATTTGTATGTATGTGTGTTTGTTTTTGATAATTTCATTCAATTCCATTTATTTATTTAATTCCATTCCAATATTGCCAGATTCCACAACAATTCAGCTATCTTATAGACCAGAGTACAAATTTGTATTATATCAAAGTCCATCTCTCCAAAACAGATAATATTAATCTAGACATATTCCATTTTAAATAATAATCTGAGAGGAAGCCAATAACTAGTCATTAAAGGAAATAGTAATAGAATAAAAGCAATAGATATGTGCAAAACCTACTGATTGGTAAATAGAAAGTTCAACAGATATCCAGATTATTCCATCCTTCCTCTGGGTTGTGTAAACCATCTGTCAGGTAATGTTACACTTGCAAATGAATCCTCTGAACCAAAAGTCATGTTTTGTGCACATTCCTAAAAAGTAGCACTGGAATATTACTAACAGATAAGGATTTCTTATCTACTAAATTAAGATAATAAACTAATATTATTTCTTATCTACTAAAAGGTAAGAAAGATTTAGTGTGTTTATGGATGGATGTAATCACTTTGAGCACTTTATAGGATACAAAGCCAAAACAATAAAATGGAGAAAGATTATATGCATCCCAGGGGTGGGGACAGAGTGGGAATGCGGAAGCAAACAAAATCTTATAAGGACTTACCTTGCCTGAATACTCAGGTCTTACATACATGTCAAAATCATTGTTGCAGGTACTCTTAGTATTCCAAAGGGACGACAACCAGGGGTGGGATTCAGCCAGTTAGGGCCAGTGTGGGTGAACTGGATATTAAATTTACATCTGGTTCACTGAACCAATAGTTTAACCAACAGGCTGGCCCTGCCCACCCTGCCCTGCTGTTCCCAGGAGTCTCCCCATGGCCTATTTTGGATGCAGGTAAGTACAGAATCTGCATGGAAGCTCTGAAAGAGTGAAAAATGGCCCTCCCAGAAATTCTAGAAATTTAGAAATGGGCCTGTTTCTGGCTTCCAAAGGACGTCCAGAACCCTGGAGAGGCTGTTTTTGCCCTCTCAGAGGCCCGAGTGAAGCCTCTGGGCTCTGGGGAAGGTGAAAAATGGCCCTTCCAGAAGTTGTGGAAGTCCAGACACGGGCCTGTTCCAACTTCTGGAGGGTCTCTGAAGCCCAGGGGAGGCCTTTTTCACCATCCCAGAGGCCTGAGGGAAGCCTCTGGACTCCGAGGAAGGTGAAAAACAGCCCTCCCGGAAGTTCCGGTAGGCCACAGGTTGTTGGGATTTTCGAATCCCACCCCTGAAGACAACTCAAATACTCTCAATTTAGACCTACAATTTAACAAAGAGAGTGCACAATGGGATTTCTAAGAGGAAAATTTCCCTGTGAAAATATGTGTTATATACTTTATATCATCTACCTAATCCCTAAGGAAAAGGTGTCCATATCAAAACTTCCAATCAAGATTTTTATAAACCAGAGTAGAATATTCAAAATCAAATGCAATACAATATAAATATTTCATGTGTCATTTGATCTAAAATTAATTTATATTGCAATAGTGTTATCCAGAAAATTAAAATTAACTTCAAGTTTTAGGAACCAAAATTACTACCCATCAGAAAACCACCCCCCTCAGTTTTAAGCTTTGAATAGTCTGTAATTCCTTCAGAGTCAAAATAGATAAATGTATCTCAACCCAAGACCATTGAATAAAATCTGCTACTATCTGTTAAAAATTGTCCCTACTTAAAGTTACTGATTGCAACTTTAGTTGACCCAGTTTTCTTTTAAACTTAAAAAGGTTTAAATATTTAAATAATTTGTAATTATTTTCTGTCTATTCTGCTGAATACTAAATCATCAAAATGAAAGTCTTGCTGATTTAGACAGACTAAATTGGCTTGCCATCTTAAAATGCTTCCTTGCAAGCCTAAACCAAATGTAAATTTAGGGTACTTCATACATGGAATGTGCTTATTGAATAAAAGCTGTTTAATTCACTAAAATTCTCATCTTCCATTTCCATACAGATTATAGTTCTAGCAAAAGCTATCAGTTGACCAGAGAGATGCGTGAGACTTGGTATTCTGCAGATGAACAGGGGAAAAAGGAAGAGTACATGACATTATTCCAAACTTTGGATGCTGATTTTGGAGGCAAGTGGTTGTCATGTTGCTTCATTCTTCTTCAAAGCCTCTGGATCTCTTAAGGCAATCAGAATTTAATGGATTTTTTAAAAATAGAAAAAGCTACATATTCTATCAATAGGATAGAATTTTAGGATATTTTATAACTTACAGAGTAGTAGAAAGAATAGCATCTGAGAAAGAGTAGGCAGGAAAACAGGTATCTTCTTGATTATCCATACTGTATGGCTTCTTTAATGTTTTCATATTATTTTTTTAATAGATGTACAAACCACCTCACAGGTTCTAGGTAACAAACAATGAAACATAATACAAAACTCGTATTTAGATTTATAAGTATTGGAAAACAAAACTATAAACATGGTAAGCAATTATAAAAATGGTGTTGATCTTCCTCTAGCAATTTATTTACTAAAGGCCTTCTGAACAAGCTGGGTTTTAACAAAACATCTTTTAAAAGGTTTTATAGAACATTGATATTTCATTGTCATAGCAATTTAATTACAAATGGTTTACTCTATTTAAAGTGAACAATTATTTGGATACGTCTACTTTTAAATTTTTTCAAAATGATTCCAATAGGACTTCACATTGTGTCATTGGGAGAAATGAAAATATTTCATTTCTGAGACAATTGCAATAAAATCAGCAACTGTTAAGCATGCTTTTTGTGGGAGGTTGGCAAAATAATAAATATATTCCATATATTTTTATATTTTATGTTCCATTTCTTCATTTCTTGATCTTTAGTACCACTTGTTAGAAAAGTAACATCTGGGCTTAAAAGGTTAAAAAAATGAATGGGGAGTAGCTCGTATTTCAGCTCTTTATAATTTTATTTTTTTCATCCCTACCTCTAACTGACATTTCTTTTAGATTTTACCAATGACGTCAATAAAATGTACCTTAAAATGGTGAAAAAAACATGTTTATGCCTTTTAAATTGGTCATGGGGGAGCATCAATAATTTCCTGTACCATTGTTGTAAGTTTTCATCCTTATTGTACTCCTCATTTTTTATACTGTATATCTGAAAGATCACAATGGAGAATATTACCATACTCTTGCATTAAAAGCACAGTATATATAAATCTTAGGGTTATCATCAAAATCATTGCCCATTTGCCTTTTATTCTTGTGTTCTTATAGAAGAACTGGAAAATACTCAGTATGGGAAATTTTGCACTGGATATCATCTAACAACGTATTAAACAAGAAAAGGGTAGGGAGGAGAAGAAAGCAAGGGTTACTTAAGGTAGTATCAATGGGAAAAATAATAACGTTTTCCTTTGGGCTAAGGTCCTCCTTTTTTAATTGATAGGAAATGTACCTGTGCAACAAATTTCTTTTGCAGAAAATGCTCCCATCTAATTGACTATTTTTGCAAGAGTATCGTCTTTAAGTTCTCGATGCTCTAAGCATTGCATACTCACAGCAGTGCTTCTACAGGAATGCACTCTCTCAACCTCCCAATTACATACATATGTTCTCCTGTCACTGTCAGACAGTTTAGCTGACATTAGATTAGTCACTTGAACAACTTTGTTGGCGAATGTATAAAGAGTAACCCATGACATTCTGTTTCTTTTCTTATGATTAGCTGATGTTGAATTTCCTGAACTCACAAACAATCCCATCATTTCTTTGATTGATGCTGGTCTCACTATAAATACAGCATATCCATCAGTTCTGTGTCCTGAGAGGCAGGTCAAGTTGATTCTATCTTTTGACTTCAGTGCTGGAGATCCATTTCTGGTAATTTATTTAAAATAAAGAAGGCATTTTACATGCCTAGAATTCAGTTGAAGGATAATACTTCCATGAGTCAGCAAGACATATTTTATTTGTTTTTAAAATTACACTTGAAAAGAAATGTAGATAGGAGAGAATTAAAATTAGATAAAATCTCAACTTGATATTTGCTTGCCAGTGTTGTTCCTACCTTTTGATAATTTCTTTAAATAAAATTATACATCTCTATGGGAGAACCCTTAGAACAATTTCTTCATATTCTGATATCCCTTAGTTCTGATAAAGTTTTGGCATTACTGGGCTATTAAAGGGAAATGTGATAAACTATTTTCCTCTTTCCAGCGTTGAATTCTTAAGAGAACATAGATTCTAAATGCAACACAATAAATAATTATAAATATTCATTTTAATTAGCCAGCCACTATTTCTTTATATTAAAATTTTCTCTTACCTCTTTGGTTAGACAATTAAAAAAGCTGCTGAATATTGTGAAGCACATGCCATTCCATTTCCAAAAGTAGATGAGAATGCATTTCAAGATCTAGATACTCCATCAGATTGCTATATCTTCAGAGGAGAATGCACACCAACCATTATACATTGTCCATTATTCAACAAAATCAACTGCCCAGGTAACCTGGAAATGAGAATCACTTGAGAAAAATATAGAAAAAAATATTGGGGGCAAACAGGATTAGAATTTGTTACATTTGCTGAATCCCTTTAATGCTTAAACTAAAACAGTTTCTATCTAATTCTTGTATCTATCATTTTGAATTATTTTCATCTCAAACACAGAACTTTCTTTAATCAAGTGATTAAAGAAACTTTGGTTAAAGAGTGGTTAAAGAAACTTTTTCTATTAAAAAGTTTCACAGAATTGAACCCTCTTTAGTAAGTCAAAACATGATTTTATAATGTCAGATATTTTTGTTCCATTGGTGGTTGGCCAAAATCTGGATAAAGATCTTTTGAAATATGAATGTTCCTGGCTCTGAAATCTGCCTAACTTTATAAAATAGTCCAATTTAAATCTGATTAGTTGTAGAGTTTGCTAGGTCTCCGTGAGTAGGTTTGGCAATGCTTTGACACATGATTGTTCTCCTTGAGATAAAGAAATACTATGGGTTTTTTTTTTTAAACAAACTGCAGCTCACCTGAAAGTCATGACTAGTAATTCAACATTCTTGCAATTTAATCTATAAACAAGGAAGCAGACAGGGAAGAGAAGCAGGAACCTAATCAGAGAAAGAAACTTAGAAAGACTTGCCTTAATGGACATGTTAACAGTGGGGGAAGGAAGCTTGTGCCTGGCAATATTCTATAAATGTAGCCTTGCAATAAGATAGAATTAGTTCATTTGCCATGTTTCCTGTCTGGTTTACCTGGGAGACCTGACAGGACTGAAGAAGCATCTCAACTTCCCTATATAAAAATATTTTAGCAATTTTTAGTACCTAATTGAAAGACTTTTTCTACATACTAAAAGTATCTGGAAGTTTAAAAAGCAAAACAAATGAGCATGCTTTCTTATTCTTAAATATGAAAGAACCATATTCTACAAGAAGCAGTTTAAAAGGGATGATTTTTAAGGCCACTGCTGAAATGTAGTGCCCCTTTGAAGAGCAACCTTGCCCTTACTGTTATCACTATTTTTATTTAATTTTATACTTTCCAAACTACATTTACTTTATCCAAGGAAGATTAAAGGTGATTGAAACCTGGTGATGACCAGCATTTTTTATTTTGCTAGTCTGTACTAATTTGTCATTGTAAAATATCATTTTCTTCTAGAATTTAAATAATCTGTACACTCTGTGCCTCCTAATTGATTATTTTTAATTTAAATTCTGTCTCATTTTTAGGTGAAATTGCTGAATATAGAGAACAATTCTCTACTTTCAAGTTGAACTATTCTGCTGAAGAGATTGAAAAGTTGTTTATGGCAGCAAAGAAGAATGTAGCAAATGTTCAGCAAAAGGTTCTGGAGGAAATCAAGCACATTGTAGGCTCTTCTTCATAAACTACTGAAGCAAATGTTTCCTATTATAATAATATATTGATTGATTGATGAAAAGCTTGTTCTACAACAGAAAACATTATTAATACCCAGGAAGTGTTATATAGTTTTTCTTCTTCCTCTGAAAGAAGTTTAATTAATATCTATTTGGGATCATGCAAGATTTGTGATTGCTACTAACATTATAAAAAAGTAAAATTTTACATTAATAATAGTTAAGCTTGGACTTCAGAATATCCAGAAAAGTAAAGAATAGGAAAAATTAAAGAGAGAGGGCTATTATTTTGGGGTAGCAATGAAGACATCAGGTGACTGTATATTCTAGTCTTGCCTTGGATATAAATCTAGTTAGCCATTTAGACAACTGCAAGAAGTAATGATTAGGAATTTTAAAATGACTTGGAGATACAAGTTTTATGACTCTTTATGAAGTACTGCTAAATATTCTAGTTTTTATACATACACATACACACATGTGCAAACACACATACACACATATAGACATACACATAATATATATAAATATACACATAATATATATCCATTTTAACATGTTAGATGCATTTACAATTTAGTCATATTTAGATGTCCAAACTTGTCCTTGGTTTGGGAAAGATGCACAATATATTTTTTTGTAAACATAGCAAATTAGAGGCAACATTGATTTGAAGAACTTATTTTTCTAATTTCTATATCCCTGAAAATGATGGGAAATTTATTTTAGTTCAGTTGTTTATGGAATTACAATATGTTCCAGCACCATAATTCTTTCAGTTTTTGTATATTTGCGATTGTCATGAATAATTGTTGGATGTTGCTTAAATATCTGTGCACCTAATCTTTCTTACAATAAGAATTATGTTCATATTAATATGTAAGATGTATGTGATCAAGAAATTTGTTGTTAAGAGTGCAGAATAAGAGGAGCAGAAAAATAAAGCCAAACATATATTTGATTACATTCCTTAAAGGTACAGTATAATCTCATGTTTCTCTACAGACTGCTTTATTAACATGATTCACACATTTTCCTAACCATGGTTTGTTTGACCATGACTTATTGAGTAAAGTTTTATTGGATGCACTTTTTCTGTGCTACAAACCTTATCATCATGAGCAGTGGATATAAATGGAAAATAAACTGGAAGCAGAGATTATATTTATCTTAATATGTTAATCCAATTTAAAACTGATATAATACATATAAGAAAAGGAAACAGAATGACCATCTACCACTGTCAACTTTAAATTAATTAAACTCATATATTCATAATAAACACGTACATTTTATATGTACATAGGAGTCTACTTCCAGTGTATACTCTTGCTTCTAGGGACTGGAGAGCTACTTCCACGTACAGAGATAAAGTGTGTATTTTTCAGCCCAAGGTCATTCCTTTTTTACATACATTCACACATACATGCATGCATGGGTATAAACAACATCCAATTGTCTGAATTTGGACACTATGGAAAACAATAAATGTGACTTCATCATAGCTATAATTTCCATTCCATAAACTTTCAGACACTAATCTCAACAATTTCCAGAAGAAACAATTTCCATTGTTCTTTCTATCACTGTTTCAAAACAAAAAGATCACAGGATGAATTACCCACAGTCCATCGACCTAACAAATATGAGAATGCCAAAAGAGGCAATAGGCTAGTGCTTCCTCACACTATTTTTTTTTGTCTTTAGCTTATTCAGAAATTGTTTTCATAGCACCTGGACTCAGTGAAAGGAAACTATAAATCAGTCATCCCACTTAGTGAAATTGTAACAAGGTGCTGCCAAGGAGACTTAATAGGAACAAAGAAAACTAAAGAACATGTGGGGATGGGGTGGGGAGAGAGGAAGAAGCAAGAATTCTCATCATGATAAATTGATGACCTGGCAGGACTATTAGAAAACTGTCTTCTTGATTATTCAATTCAATCTGTAATTGAGCTGAAAATAAATTAGTTCAGTAGCCAAAGAAAAACAATGTTGTGGACATAAAGATCTCAGACTGGTACAAATAAAAATATCCAAGGAAACTAATAGGAGGGGTGCATCATCCATAAAATGAAGCCAATTTTTTTAAAGATGATGTATTACATTACTTTGCCATTACTGTATATACGGTTTATTGCAAACATGATTGATTTAGACAAAGATCCCTTGAACTGGTGGAATTTCAAACTGCTAAAGAAAGTGTAGTACTGAAAAGAGGGAAAACATTTATTTTTAAATTTGAAAAGGAAGTGAGATATACTTAACAACACATGGAAGGAATTAATGAACAATCAAGAAATGCCTTATTGTCTAAATAAAACTTTCTTCACAAACAGAATAGCAGCAAGGATTGTTTTTGTATAATTCACTTTGCTATATAGAACTGATGATTTGCCAAAACCCAGTTTGTGTTCAACTGTGCAAAACAAAACTTCTTTGTATTTGAAATGGCAATGAGCCTTGAAGATGCTCATTAAAAATTGTCTATACAGAAATTCAGTTCTCTTCATCAAGTTAAAAATGTTAGATTTTGAGCTACTTTTTTTCAAGAGGAAGTTGCATTTTTAATAGTCACAGAAGGAATCTGCAATTTCAAGAAATGCTGAATTTTATAGCTGTTGCTATCTGCTATTCAATCAGATTAGAAGATTTTTAACAATAAAAGGAAAGGAAAAGGGGATAAGGAAGACTTCGTTTTCTTTTCAGTTGTAATCACATTGTACTGATTTATTGATAACAAACTATTGTTTGTATTCTTAAATTAGTAAGACATTAAATGTTTGACCGTATTTGATGAATCAGTCTTTCCAAAATTAATCACTTTGGCTCAGATTTATTCTTTTTCCTAAATTCTATCTGAACAATAAAACAATGTATTTGAAACCTGAACAAAGTAACATACAATGATTGCATATACTTCCAGGCTAGTGATGAGGTAGGAGTAAAATATGGATGTTACAAATGTTCCTATACCTATCAATATAAATGAACACATGCTGGACTGTTTGGATAGCCCAGAATTTCTCAAATAATAATTATTTTTGCATGATAGACTAGGTTATAGGCCAATTATCTGAATGCCATGGCAACTACTGACAGTGGAGAATTCCATAAATAAACTGTGTATTCTTGGTAAAGATACTATAGAAACTGATTGTTTTGTATTTTATTTTATAAATCTTGCCTACTAAACTATAACTACATATATAATACATTGCATTGATTTGACTCAAATATTTCTCAAGAGATCAATTAGGATTAGTGTCTGTATCTCCCTGCTTTCTTAAGCAATTCCACAATCCTGATTAGGATCTTTGGGAATGGAAAAAAAAACCCTCACATTCACTGCAATGAAAATAAATGTATAACTCAAAAAAAGAGTTCATCTTACCCTTCTTATAATAATTTGATTTCTTTGATTTTTCATATGGTTGAATATAAATATCGATATTAGTATTTTGTACAGAAATAAATCCTAGAATCTCAAAATGGACACTATTATCATATACATTTTCAGAAATCTCTGTTCACTTCAATAGATACATAAGAAAAAGGGATGGATTAAATGGTGAAAAGAGATATAAGAGTCAGTTACATACTGTGAATGACCATTCACAAAGCAATTACTTCTTTGTATCTGTTAAAGAGCAGGAACCATCCAAAAGAAAGATGAATAATGCTACAAACTTTGTTGAAAACAAGGATTCATCATAAGATTTTTTGAGATCTAGAAGGGACCTATTAGTATGTTTTTTTTAAAAAAAATACTTTAAATGAAACCAATGGGATTTTCACATATCTCAGACAATGTATTGTACCACAAGAAACTTTTATGTGTTCATTTGTGGTGACTTCAAAACTTCTACCGTGTTGTCTTCTATTGAATGGATGGAGAAGTTAAGAGTATCAGGTGGCCCTCCGTCTTGGTCCTCCAAACATTAAAAGCTCTTTGGTGAGCCTAAGTTATAATGCAGACTTGAACATTTCTGTTGTGTTCACGCAGCTACAGACATGCAACAACCCACTGTGAGTAGTGCAGGAAAATATGATAATATAATTGGCTAACAGCATGGCAGGCAACCCTATATAAGGGAGCCCGCCAGCTGTTAGTGGCTGTTGTTTGCAGTTGGCATTTGATTATTTACCAGTAGACTAGTATTGCAGATCCTCTGTCTCTGCCTCTTGATTCCAGCAATCTAACAACTGGCAACAAGACAGCAGGGATCTCCGCAGGCTGCAGCATCCAAAAAACAGCTGATTGGGGCTGTGCCAGAATGCCAATCCATGTGGAGAGCCTGCAGAGAGAGAGAAGTGGAGCACTGTTGATCAGAAGAGCCGATAAGCTGCAGAAGCTCAGAAGCTACCTCACCACAGGAGGACCAGCTGACAGGCCCCTCGCTACCATTGATAGGAAGAGCTGCCACTGATCGGAAGGGCTGATAAGTCACAGAAGCTGCCTTTTGCAGGAGGGCCAGCTGACAGGCCCATTGCTGCCACTAATTGGAAGAGCTATCAGACAGAAGAAGTGCAGTGCCACAGAAGGGCCCACTGACCCAGAAGTTCATCAAATCACCACAGAGGCTTTGGAGGCCAGGCTAAGCCATGAGAGTCAGAGCAGGCCTACAGCCTTTTGCTGCAGAGTAGAGCAGTCCACCCAGGTCAGCCCAGGGTAGGGAGGGGTGCTCTTGTCTTACCAGTGGAAAAAGAGTCAGGACAGCACCTAGGGGGCCCCTGACAGAAAAGATGGCAAATACTCAGAAGTTCACCCCTTTTGACCCTGAATTAGAAACTTGGGACTCTTATCTAGTCCAATTTGACTGCAACTTAGAGGCTAATGATCTCACCAACATCACCAACAACCAAGAGAGAGCAATCTTCCTTAGCAACTGTGACAGGGAAGTCTTCAAAATGGCTTGCACCATCATCTCTCCAGATCCCCTGCTGACAGTTCCGTGGGCCTCACTAATTCAAAAGCTGATCCAATACTATGCTTCCTGCATTGCAAGGTGGCATGCGTTTTACCAGAGGGACCAAGTGGAGGGTGAGTACATAAGTCCTTATATGTTTGCACTATACAACTCTGCCTTATATTGCGAATTCTGCATCCTGGATGAGGTCCTCCAAGACCAGTTTGTGAGCAATGTGAGTGACCTATGACTACAAAGATACCTATTTGCCAGGACCATCCTAATGCTGAAGGAAGCTCTAGATGAGGCCATCGCTGCAGAGCAGTCTGGCAGAACCACAGAAGAAATCCAAATGAGGAAGACGAACAGCCCAAGAACTGCCAGGTGAGCTGCCATGGTCCATCGCAAGGAAACCAAATATATAGAGGGAAATAAGGACACTGGTGACAGTGAAGAAGGCATGAACAAAATGAGAGTGGAAGCTCTCCCAAGGCACGACGGGGAGCATAAGACAGCACAGTGCATGTGTTGAGGGGGAAATCACCTGAGGGCAGCATGCCAACATACGAACACAATCTGCAGGTGGTGCAGGAAAAAGAAACACCTAGCACACATCTGCCATGCAGCTTTCCCAGAAGCTATGCCTACAAACACAGAAAAAGGCAGCTTGAGCTGTCCACACAGTGGGAAGCAGAGCTAAGTAAAAGGGAATTAACAGGAAAGAGGACTGTTTCATCTTCCGCACAGACCCACAACCCGTCGAAAGAGTAATCCACCAATCTGGGAGCCTACTACACAAGAAAATACATATGACTGTTGATATTAAGGGGGCTCCATGCAAAGTGGAGGTGGACACAGGGTCAGCTATGACCTTCATTTCACTCAATGACATCAGAGACAAGAAGAAACAGCAGAAACTCAAGACCAGCTCTGTAAGGCTCCAGGACTATCAAGGAAGCCATATTCCCACCGCAGGTAGTGGCAATTTCATCAAGTATAGCCAATTTTCTGGATACCTACTGGTAGTCTTCACCAAGGGATCCTTGCCTAGCCTTT